CAGGGGCCGGGGGGGCTGAGCAGGGGGCGCTGGGTGGGGGGGAGTGGGTAGGGTCTCAGCAGGGGGCAGGGGAATGGGGGGAGCGGGGTGGGGGCTCGGCAGGGGCCAGGGGGGCCTGAGCAGGGGGCTCACCCCAGGCAGTCAGGGCTGGCTGCAATGCGATCCCAGGGGGCTCTGTGCTGTGGGGTGCTCACTAGGGGGCTCTGCCGTCAGCTCGCTCAGTGAGTCGCTCGGCCCCCGGGGCCGTAACGCGCCTCTAACGCCCGCTCTGTCCTGTCCGGTCTCCGCAGGGCCCCGAGGGGATCCAGTACAGCACCCTGCACTTCCAGGCGCCCCACGGGGCCGGGGCTGGGGCCAGGGCGGAAACCGGCCCAGCCACCATCTACTCCGAACTGGCCACTGGCCACGGCTGACGGGGCCGGCGAGCGCGGGCGCCTCTGGGGCAAGGCCAGGCCCCAGCTCGGGCAAAGACGCCCCCTTCCCTCGGAGACTCCCAGCGCCAGGCGATTCGGGTGTGGGTGGGGGAGGGTCTATGAGACGAGTTCTCTGGTTGGGGTGGGGCGGGGGTGGGGGAACTGGGTTGACAATATTGTAGGTCCTACACTATGTATTGTAAACAAGTCCAAGTGGGGCACGGCCCGCTATGAAGTTTTCTGCTGCTTCAACTGGCAACAGCCAGGAGGAGGGGCCCCGTCTCCGTTCCTGGCCCCTGAGACTCATGTCGTAGGTCCTACATTATGTATCATAAACAATGCAAGGTGTGAATAAAGTGGGCTTTGGCCGCAAATGACATTTTCTAGGGCTTGAAACAACAGGAGGGGGGAGGGAGGGTAGATGGCAGAGGAAACTGTTGCTGATGAGAATCAGTCACGATCCACAAACAATATGGTAGGTCCTACATTATGTATTGTAAACAAATCAAAACATAAACAAAATGTGCACCAGTTGTGAATAACTTTACCCCCCCCCTTCTCCAATGAGGAACCAGTCCCCCTCCATTACAGTTCACTGAGAACAATATTGTAGGTCCTACATGAGTACTGTACAG